TTATTATTTAACTGGTAGTGCATAAGGATCGAAATGATGAATAATTGTATTATCAAGATTTTTTTCAAAATAGCAACATATAAGAAACTTAGAAGAGTATGTGAATTTCTTTTATAATAGTAGAGCCTAGTTCATGTATTTTAAAATGTAATCCTATGCTAAATAATAAGATATAATATTTTAAAAAGTCAGAAACTGGCCAAAAGAAATGCTGGTTGTTCCTTAATGATTAGAACGATAACCATGAATAAGATAACCAACAAATAAAAATTCAGATCAAGAAAATTTTTTAAAATTTTCCTACATCAAATATTGCTACTCCTATTTTAATATGTAGCATTTTAATTAGCAGAAGGTTTTTCTGACATAGCATGATATATAACTCATACAATGACTCACAGTGTAAGTTGGCCTGTGATTTTCTTTCGGGAAATAGAATACTCTAATTCAAATCCATTATTAAAAAGCAGTTAGCATGTGTACTTCTGAGATGCCTGTGACTTCACTCTTTGGTTTTATGTAACTCTAAGAGATGCTCCTATGTATCTGCTGTTCAGCTGGCCAGCAGTATTTTAAAACTGAATGTCTTGAGACACAGTACGTATTTCCTTTCGGTTCATGAAGGGTATCACAGGCTTCTATGCTGAAAATTTTCTTAATGGCTTGTACTACACTACAGTGTACTTTATTTAACCATGATTACAATAAGAAGAATTTTTATTGTGTTACAGTACACATGTCTAAAAAGGGTTAGACAATTAGTTTGTATTCTGAAATTAATAGTTGGTAACTAAAACCTTTGCGTTTGTATTATGTTTTGTAATAACAGTATTTTTTAAAAATTGCATCTTGAAATAAGTACTTTTCCTTTAAACTAATTTCAGTTTAACATAAAAATAGGGAAAGCATCACCCACTGAAAAACAGCTTAAATTACATGTACTTTGTCACTGTAAATAAACAAGGTAAACATTGACATGACTTCAGATTATTCTTGGAGTGAAAAAAATCTGCAGTTCAAAATAAATTCTGCCTTTGGTCAACATTTTGGATGCAATTCAAAGTTTCTCATAAAATAAACATATTTTAAGGGGTGTTTTGAATTTCACTGCATAATTTCTAGCCAACAGAAATGACAGTGGTGTCTTTAAAGTTTATGATATGCAAGATCAGTAGCCATCTCATGAAGACCTAACTAGATCATCCAGAGGCAGTACCTTCCCTCCGCTTAACCTGCTAGTGAGACAGGAAGAAAACCTCCCATAGGTGGCCCCTGGGGAAACTGTCACAGGCAAAACTTTTGTTTGTTTCATAATAAAAGTATTCTTTCTTGATAAAATGGAAAGTGAGTTGAATTGTTCGTCAAAAAAAAAAAAAGGACAAAATGTTCATTAAAGTAAGATTCATGAGACTTTTTCAACAAAGGGGAGAGGAGAGTCTTAGGTTCTGCATAATAACAAATTGTTTCAAAGCCTGAGCTTGAAATGAAAGTGCCCCATCACAGCAGACTGTAAAGTTTTCCTGCTGTTCTTAAAAGTGCCTAGATCATTCCTGCAGCTTCTCTGCTAAAATATTTGCTATTTTATTTAAACATTTTTTTTCGAAAAATGAACATTCTGAGGCTTTGCAGCATTATTAAGAAAAGCTGTCCATACTTTACATGTTGTTACATGTGTTTATCTGCTGATTATAAAATGTGTTAAGCAGTATTTTAAAAACAAAAAAAAATGCAGCACTGCACTTTGATTAATTCAGTGAACAAAACATATGCTGTTAGTTCTGTTCTATGAAATTTGTGTATGATCAATAAAATGTTTTAGAAGAGCAAGTCTGGCTTTTAGGAGTGTGTTGCCGACCATCCTTTTTGTCCCAGTTAACTTTGGGCTCGTACTTCTGACTTAAACAAACCCCTTTCTGACTTGGTGCTGATGTTTTCTGACGTATTCTTGTCCTCTTTCTGAAATTTCTTTAGGTTGGAAGCTGTATACTGTGGTTGTTACCCACTCTGTCCCAAAGATTTGGTTTATCCTGAAATATTTCCAGGTAGCCGCTTTAATATGCTTTCTCTTTGTTGTGATTTCATACATGATTCATGCTTAACTAAAAGTTTGGAAATAAACTTAAGTAGGAGCAATTGTTTATTTGGCAAGTCAACATGTTAGTGTTAAGGAAAATTTTATGTGTTTTAATACATTAGAGTAAGCTTATATTTACCATCTGTTCTTTTAAGATAACAAAAAAAGCAAGTTTTCAAATAACATTCTTCATTGTTAGCATACACATCCCATAATGATGGATTTTTATAAGCAGGTCAGTACTGCTACAATTGCTTACAGATTTTATTTAATGATATACACAGAGAAAAATCAAGGAATGAAAGTCACACCAAATTCTTTAAACAATTGACTGGTTAATAATATGCAACTGTTGTAGAGAGTACATACGGCTATAGTACTAGTTCTTTGAAAAAATTCTCATCACTAAATATATCACATATGCATTGTGCTGCATTAGAATAATGTATTTTAATCACCCAGAGGAGTTGTCTAAACAGCACAACTACACAGTCTTACTTAGCATTAAACATCCTTGTGAGCTGAGGTAACCTTATAAAATCATGCTTAAATAATGTAAAACACGAGGCGGCACAGAGCAATATGCATTTTTAATTAGTAAAGTGACTAATATCGAGTGTGTGCTTTGAGGTTTTTGTTTCATTAAAAATGTATCTGTTTTTCCTGCAGCTGAATATCTGTATTCTACACCTGAACAGCTTTCAAAAAGGCTCCAGAATTTCTGCAAGAGACCAGATATTATAAGAAAACATCTTTATAAGGTAGTTATTGAAAAGAGATTTACGTGATAGAAATGCCATATTGAAGTACAAAGAAAAATCTTTAAAAAAAAAACATTTAATTAACATACTAATGTTTAAAGGAAGCATGCTAGGGAGGGATATTAGTTGTTACACTAACAAGGATTAATTAAACTGGATGCCAGTTGTATTAACCTAGGTCTTATGAAATACATACACTTAATGCACAGTACATGGTTTTTTTTAATTTATTGTTTTCTAAGATGACTGTCCTGTACATTTAGTCCCAAGAGGCTTATAAAAATGAACTTGGATTAATGTAACTCATTAGTTTAAAAGGAAGTAAAGGAAAGATTCCACAATTATACTAATGAGGATAAGCCTTTCTTCCCATCATAATAAAATCTTTGGTCCTCAAAAATTCAGGTGAATGAATTAGTGAAGTTGGGTGTTCATTTTTGAACTACTATTAAATGCCCTTTGGCCAAGCATAGTAGTGCATGCCTTTAATCCTAGTGCTACAGAAGCAGAGGTGGGTGGATCTGTGCAATTGAGACGAGGCCAGCTGGGGCTACAGAGAGACCCTGTCTCAAAAAACAAAAACAACAACAACAACAAAAAATGCCTATCAGAAGTAATATTCCCCTCAGCCTGTTTAAAACATGACATAAAAATCTTTAGTTCATTTAAAATCAAGACTGTCAATCTCAGCTCAAAATAGCAAAGGCAAATCACATCTATAAATAGCATCATCATGCAGACCCATTCATTATTTCCTTTCCTTACCTGAATCAAGGAGTTTACATTGTTGAAATAACACAAAGAGCCACTACTAACAGTATAAGTAATTGAAGTGGGATAAGTCTGCTTTATGAGTTTCAAAGGTGGCTCTAGGCCATGAGTAATATACCTTTTTATATTCTTTGGATATAGTATCTTCATTTTACATAAATTTAGTATAGTTTGCAATCTGGCACTTTTATAATCCAGTATCTTTTAATTTTCCTATGTTAATGTATTATCTTCTGCATGAAATACATGTCTCTGCCTTTTCTCCTCTCCTTTATTCTTGGCCTAAAATACATGTATTTACGTAGTGATACATGAAAACATGACTTTGTTTCTCCAGGAAACAGTTAAACTTCCAGAAAAAGGGAGAGAACCAAAAATGCAATTTAACACCCAATTTCAAGCTCATTATCTTTCATTGTCTATTAACTTGGCAATGGTTCAGAAGGTAGCTCGTAATAGTTTAAAATGCTGACTGCACAGTTCCAGGCTTCAGTGTCACCCCCTGACTGTCGTATCTTATGCAGGCAAAGCCTACAGAGAATGCAGGCCTCCAAGGTTTACCCCAATATTACTACTTTGTAAAGTTCAATAGTAGTTTTGTTCATCTACAATATGCATCGAATCGTTCATCATGAGATAGGCAGGCAAAGTGTGCATGCTCTGACAATTAAGGAAATAGAGCAGGTTTGGATATAAATGGATTAATTTGATATATATGACATAAACCTTTTTCAGCAAGTTCACAGTTAAAGTATTAATTTGTTTTTATGCTTTGAGTGAATTTTTGGTAAAGTATTTACAAATATATTTCATAGTATCAAAATATGTCAGTTTTTAATGTTGATTCAGGTAAGGCGTTATTAAACCACAGATATATTCTATATCTGAATTTTTAACTATTTCACAAGTTACTGCAACAAGTCATCTGTAGTTAAAAAAGAAAAAGAAAACATCTCTAATTGCAATATTTCAGTATGGTTGCTAACATAACAGGAATATAAGTTTATTTTACAAATAAAAAGAAAAATTCCAAAAGAATATTAATACACAAAGTCCTTCATGTGGCTTAAAAATAGCTCACAGTGTTACTTCACTGGACGACTGCATGTTAGCCTTACTGATAGTGTTAAAACTCTTTGATCTCAGTGTTTTATGTTAGTAATTCAAAATGATTTAAATCTATATTTTAAGTTTTTGCATGGATTTTTTGTTATAAATCTATAATATGCCTTCATGTATATAACTGTAAACAATTATGAGTTTTAAAATGAAATTATTAGGAGAAAATGGCACATAACAAGGCAAGGAGTTAAAAATCGTAGGAAGGAGCTCAAGTTTGGTTTGTTATAGTAAGGTATAGGTCCAAGCCAGACAGAAAGAAATCCTCTGAAAGATGTCATAAACTACAGTCAGTTTTCAAATCCTGTGCTGTCTATGCACACACTTTGGGAAGCATTTGCTTTCACTCATGACTTCTTTCCTTCAATGCAGCTTTGTCTACTTGTCTTCACAGTGGGGAAGGACCGTTTGTGTGTTCTGTGACGAGTTCGAGGGCTTTTGCTTCTTTAGTATTTATTCCGTTGGACAGTGCTGTTTTGCTTTATAAAGCATATGCTTCTAGGATCTGAAAGGATAGAATGTCACTGGATTCCTTAATTTGTTCCTTTTGCATTTTACATCTTATACTTTTTTGTTGTTTAAGTGTCACAGTTACAGTCATTTCAACCTCTTACCACATAGAGTTCAGTGTAGGATAGAAATTTTCATATGGTTTCACACTTAGAAATTTAATGACTAGAATAAGGCTACTAACACTTGGCTTTCTTCTCACATGAGACATGATTATACTTTCAATATGAGTGGAGAGCTTAGGGTCTGTAGCTTGTAACAGGATTTGAAACAGAATCATAGTATCTGAAAAGCAGACCCAGAATTGAGAATGGTTTTGTTGTTTTATTTTGTTTCTTAAAGAGATTCTTTTTGCTATAGAAATCTGTGTCCATGGCTTCTCACCTGAAATGATATGCATACTTTCCTCTCTCTGTGTCTCTCTGTCTTTCTGTCTCTCTCTCACTCTCACCACATTTTATTAGGATCATTAGAGAAATCTAATCCATGCAAAAAGTAAATGTTGCTTAATAATCTTAAAAATATAAAGCTATTTTCTTGCTTTAAAAAATCTATGCCACCTCTTTAAAAGTTTACATGTGTGGATTAGTCATCAACTATGACTTTCTTACTTCCTTCTACCATGAAGATGTGTCTTGCTCCAGGTAGGAAGTTGCACTGACCATGTACTTGCAGAGGAAAAAAAAAAAAGAAAAAAAAAAAGCTTCATTTCATTCACAGTAAGAGCTCCTGCAGACTGCTCAGCCTACTGTGAGCAAGTTCCTAAAAGAGGTCAGAAGACAAGCAGACATGCATCGACTTTTTATAATAACAATTGTTACTCTTTCTAGCCCAAACATGTCTGCACCATAAAGTATTTTTGCCTCACTTTTACTATATGACTATATTTACTGAAATTTTCTAACAATTGTGTGAGATCCACACTTCATGTATTTAGATAACTTTAAATCATTTTATTTTAAAATATATTAGAAAACGCAGACAGTCCCTCCTCGTCAGTATTGAAAATAGAACCAGAATGTAATAGATGAAAGGTGGGCATTCCCTGGGCTGACAGAAGAGAGTCATTCACATCCTGCTTCTTGTTTGCTTTATTTACAAACTGAGCGGCACAGGACTCTAATCCATATGAAAATTTCTATCCTACACATAACTCTTCTCCTTTTTGAAAATGACTTGTGGTTTCTTAAGGTTTTTTACTTTGGCCCCTTTAAGTTCTTTAACATTTGAGGCCTATTTAATTATTACTGGGAGAAGAGAAGAATTTTCAAATTCTTGCCTAAAACTAATTCCAAACAATGATTTAGCTTACAAGGCAGACTCAATGCCCGGAAAAGCCATTTGTGGTTGTTTTAATTATGTCAGGCTACATCTATCCAAACTGTAGCCAAGCCACTTCTAAGAACCCCTGCAAGAGATGGTCACGTTTGAGACCCCTTTTAATTTGAACTTAGATTCTGGATTTGGACAAGGTGTTTCTCACTGGTGTTAACACTGCCCCCAAATCTTACTTTTTCTTAAAACATTAAAAATTTTGGTGATATTTTAAGAACTTCTAAAATCCCTGAGATCACCTACAAAATGTAATGCAAATTCTCAGTTCCAAACTTTTTCTCTTTTTTCTGTCTTCCATAGTCCTTCTCCTCCCCTTCTCTGCCCTTTTTCTTTCCCTTACTTTTTCCCTTCCTGATTATATATGGTTTGGTTTTCCTTTGATTTGTCTAACTCACATCAAAGCAGGAAGTTCTGCTCTGGCCCATTCAGCTTGGGTAAGGTTTGTCTTTCTCCAAAGGTGACAGCTTGGTCTGTGTGCAATTCATCTGCAAATCCAGCATGTTTTCCAACCATAACAACATTTTCACCCCGAGGAAGTGCTATAATGAAATAATTAATATAAACCCATTTGTACATGTGAAGCACTTTATAAATTCCACATAATAGTAAGGGCATAGCTTGTGTCCGCAATGCTTAAAAGTAAAATTCATATTAGCAAAACCATATATTAAGAGTATTGTGTATCTTCTATCTATAAAAGTTAAAAGTTGGATGATAAATGCCTAATAGCTATCATCCATAACATAAACCAAGAAATGTGTACGACAGCATGTCCCGTGTGCAAACTGCTCCTTCCCATTGCTGAAATACAGTAACACTTAAACCAGTCATAAACTAGGTTTTTTTAAAGAGCAAACTTGGTGGGTTTGGGGAATATAATTGGAAAAATGAGGCCAGTTTGCAGTATGAATTTTCAGCCTTCTCTTGTGTGTCAGTGGTTCATGCTTATTCACTGCTTTCTAATCTCTTCTCCCTCCCTCCCTCCCCGTGTTACAGGGTGAAGTGGCTCCGTTTTCTTGGGCAGCACTACATGGTAAATTCAGGTCTCTGCTCACAGCAGAACCTAGGGAAGATTTGTGACAGATGGGGCTAAGTCACAAACTTGCAGCCTAAGGCAGAATCTGAAGAACTTTCCAGAGTGTGCCCATATTTACCTGATCAGAGAGAAAAGAAAATCTGCAGAGGAAGCTGAGCCTGGCTGCTTGTCATAGCTGACACAGAGCCATCTGCCACAAACCTGTGGCGGCTTCAGATCTCCAATCCCTGCCACCACCCCAACTCAAATTAAATACAGATTCCTAGAGACGTTATGATGGTTACACATGTCCTCGGCATCACATGTAGGAGACTGTTCAAAAAAAAAAAATGTGGCCTGTTGTATAACCGCACTCATGTATCCCATATGTGGTGCCACATTGAATTTCCGGTTGAAACCGTTTTTATCCTTTGTACTGGATGACATGGTGCCTGAATTCTTTCTTTTTGCCGACATGATGGCAGCCAAACTGCAGCTTCAAACACTCACACTTGGCTGAGTTTCTACCTGGATTGCCAGGTTATCACTGGGTCCTTCTTGTGTCCTCAAAGGGCCACAGGGCCTAAAAGGAGGAGCAGAATGCTCCCAGACTAATTGGGCAGCCATCTCAAAGCTGCTTACAGGCAAAGGGCTGCTTTAGCACTTTTCTTTTAGCAAATTAATGACTCTCTGGCACAGGAGTTTTTAAGTGAAGGTATTAATAAGGGGTCTGGCAGGTATTCCCATGATTCACAGAGTTTCATTTGCATTTAATTAATCTTAGAAAAAGTTGCAAGATAAACAGCTGTAATTCGGACAAACATAGCAGATACAGTGACTGAAGCGCCTCATCCATAAAATGAACACTGAGTTACTTCTTTTAATTTTTTTCCAGGAGTAAAAATAGAGAAATCAAAATAACTTCTAACAAAACCCATAATTTGGTACAAATATTCTTCAAAAATATTTGCATCTAACTACAAATACCATCTTTTCAAGATAAATCACTTATGATTCAAGTAGTCAAGCTGCTCTATTTGTTGATGTAAAAATGTTTTGAATGGCTAGATTGTAAAATAAATTTTTAATAAAGTACCCACTGCAATTTTTAATTAGCATATTCATTTACGTGTAAGTGTGTGCATCTCTGTGTGCTTCTTACCAAATGTTTTCCTTGTGTCAGAGACAGCGAATACAATTGTTTCTTTTCCGGATGAACAAGGATCTGTTTTGCAAATGTTTGTTAGATATTATGACATTTCCAAGATTTTCTTTGCATTCTGGAAAGCAGGAGGTAAACATTTGTAGTCATTAAGGTAAAGTCTGTTGATAAACCATCTTCTGTTTACTAACAGGTAAATTGTAACTTCCCTAGCTATTGAAATGAATAACTTCTATATACTGCAAATTGAGAAAATGCCAGGGAGAGGTGACTACACAAGGGTAACCCTGAGTCTCTGTTTCCTAGAAGGACTGGGTAGCCTAACCAGCATCTAAGATGGAGCAGATGGTTGTACCAAAATCCTCCAGAGGCTATAGGAGAGGTAGCAAAATATCAAGCAGGAAATCAATCAAGGTTAGGGAGCCATATACAGTCCTCAGAATAAAGGCAGCCATGTAGGAATGAAAGCAGAAAATCAGTCCATGAGTGCTAGGAATTTTAAAACAGAAAGAGAAACAGTAGAAACAAGCTGTGAGCAGACTCGTTCCCATCTAATATGAGACCCATAGTGTAGGGGTGGTCACCATGCTACTGGCTTCTAGTCCTTACTTACAGGGAAGCTATTGGACAAATACCCCTCTCCCCATAATACAAAGGGCTCAGAAACTATCTCAGAATCTCCTTCAATCTAAGTCTTTGGAACACAGAATCTAGCAAGAGTGGTCCACGTGAGAGCAAATCAAAAGCTATAATCGTAAATGAGACATTTATAGGCACTTCTCTTGGGCAGGATTTTACTTTATATCCTCTAAAGAGATGAACCAGTCAAAAAGGTGCTGTATCACAGATGGCATCTCTCAAGGTAATATAGATCTTATGGCCAAGAAACAATGCCTAATTTTATGTTTGTTTTTCTATTGAAAATTATGGGTAGATAAGCTGTTATATACAACTCTCCATGTGCTCTTTTCACTGCTTCATAGAGTAGAAATTAAGTATCTTTCAAAGATGACATCCCAAATATATTTTTTCTTGATTTTTTTTTTGACAATGTCTCATGTGTCCCAGGCTAGTCTCAAACGCACTGTGTAGCCCACAATGATATTGAACCTTTACCTTCCACCTCCCCCTCCCAAGCACTGAATTTCAAATGTGTACCACCCTGGGTTTATGTGATGCTGGGGTTTGAACCTAGAGCTTTGTACATGCCAGGCAAGAATTGTGCCAGCTGATCTAAATCTGATCTATTTTCCTGATTTGGTCAAGGAAAATAATAATACTGAGTGGAACCTGTGTATAGGACTTTTCCCTCACTCACAGATTCAAGTCAGCTTTTATCTTTAGCTGTGCTCATCACTCCCCCCAGAATGAAACTTACATTATAGTTGTCACTCATGAAAACTACGCTTTCAGACGTGTATTAGCATGTCTAAGTAATAAAAAGTTTTGTTGATGCATAATCCTGAGTATTTAAAAAGATGTATCTGTGTCTGTGTTTATGTCTATGTGCACTTCTCAGTACCCAGGACACAGCAGAGTGTTAGGAAGCTAATCTTGTATTAGCTCAGTGGATAACTGTGGATATAGTTGACTCATATTTCATAAAAGAGATCAAATATGACCATTATTTCCTGGCTTTTAGTATTTTGCCCTTGAAATGTTTGGTTTTATTTTTTTTTACATTTTTTAATATTTTTTTAGAAGAAGCATATCATTTAAACACTTAATTCTATTTTTCTTCTTTTGAACCCATCAGCACAATTTAATTTTATATATCTTTAAAAGCCCGGCCATTATCAAAACTTCAATGCTGAACCTAGGATGCTTGCCCTATACTTAACACGTGTTCCCTTGATAAGTAAAAAGGTATATAGTTCTTATCCTCATCATTTATGCCATATTGATCATGATAGGTCAAAAGACTTTATCATGGTTTTCCTGTTTGATATGTATTCTTCAAATACAGTTAAGTTTAAGTGTCTTGTGCTTATTTCCCAGTTCTTCAGACATGCCACACAGGTGGGAAAATCCCATAATTACATAAAACCCAAAGGGTAACTCATAGCCATAGAAGGCTGCAGATTTTCAACACCTTGAAATGCATCTGGAAACAAAGATTTCATTTTATGTTGAAAGTGTTAATTATATTTGATATTTTTAAAAGTAAAATCTGTTTTTGAGAAAGCATCTGCTACCAGAAATAATATGAGCCACAAAAGAAATTTCATTTAAGTCTCAAGATACTTTCCAATGGGTGATAGAATCAGTCTTAAAATACTCTCCCTGATGTACTTTAATGCTGATATGTTCTATTCTTCTATAAAATATTAACAAGTTTCACCTTAACTGCTTATCTGTTCCAACAGAAAATTAAGAGTATTTATTATCAGATTTTATATTTAACAATGAAGAGAGTATATTATAAATATCAACATAGAGGTGTTTCCTCTTAAAATCTGGACATCTTTCCTTCAAACAGTGACTCAAAATGTAACTTAGGAAGCTTTAAAATGCAGAAGGAGTTCTACCTACTGCTCCAAGAAGACAATGTGGATTAAAGTGTTACACACAGCCAGGCATGGTGGAGCATGCCTTTGGTACAGCACTCAAATGGCAGAAGCAGGTGGATCTCTGTGAGTTCTCAGCCTACCTGGTCTATGTAGTAAGTTTCAGATCAGCTAGGGCTACATAGTGAGACCCTATCTCAAAAAAACAAAGTAATAATAAACCATTATGCACAGAAAGTAAGAATTAGTGCTGACTTTGCAGTGATGGTTCCTTGGGTATTCTGATGGAAGAGGACAGATCTGTGAGTCACTGCATGATAGACAACTATTTAGCCAGCTAAGTCCTGGTTCAGAAAAACCTATTTCTGCTCATTACTTTATGACACTTTGTATCTGAAATGTTATTATAAGCTGTACCTTTTCACTGGAGCTATACTTTGAGAAGTGTGTAGTAAGTGTTGCTGCCCTGCTATCCTCAACATTTCCTACATTAACAATTGCATCAGAAAAACCATTCTTTTCCCATAGAAAGGGACAGAAGCTGCTCCAATTGCCAATTTTGTATGAGAAGATGTCCCTCTATCTAACAGGAGCCAAAGACTTCACCTCAACCCAGAACCAAGTCATATTATGGACAAAGTCAGACTTGACTGTCCATGCGGTCCTTAAGTACTTTGCTTTTATCTTGAAAATTCATAAATGTGTAGCAGCTCACAAACCCTCTTAGCTCCCAAGAACTGACCATTTTCCATTCTCTCAAAAGCTCTACTATCTGAGTTCCAACCAACCCCAGGAGAGATTCCTAAGTGTCCTCATAAACTGACCCAAGAAATTTATGATTTTCAGGAGATAATCTAAAATGCTTATATATGACTTGCCTGTCAGTTACTGTGTTTAAACACCAAATACATTGTAAAGTGCTAGATGTCACGTGTACTGGGAATGTGGACTTGTATGACCTTCCTTTAGGAATGTGGAGTCATTTGTAATTGAAATTTTAATATTTCCAGTGTCAGTTCACAGGTGCAAATGTGAGCAAATGCAGCTATACTGGCATACTTAGGAGCTGGAGCATACTAAAGATACAGAATGACTCCCTTTCCCACATGGATTTTGTCTTTTGGGAAGCACCACATTCACGGTGCATTTCTCAAGTGGACCCTTAATTTGATTTCTCTCCCCTCTAGGCAAAAGGTAGCAGAGAGTTACTTTGTGACCCACACTGCTGGTGTTAAAGGCACATGAGAGCCTGAAGTATGGCGAGTTTGTTATCGCTGTTCCCCTGCCTTTAGGGAGGCAATGATTGTGCATGGTGTGCCTCACAAGCCTCCATTTTCTGTGGTCTTGGCTCGTGCTGGAGTCATCTGTTAGGGTAATTTCTTGGCTCTTTTATCAAGCATTTTGTCTTTGTGGCCTCTCCATTTTAGACATGGGAAACTGAGGACCTAAGGAGAGGTTGCCATGCTTTGGGTTCAGTAGTGGCGGAAACAGGTCTTCGACACAGATTTTTCCCAGGCTCTTTCTTGAGACTGTGCTTGATTCCTTTAGTCAGGACCAGCCTTTAAAGAAGGGGAGGGAGAAAACATGTCTTCATCTGCTGGCTCTCTTTCTTCCTTTTCCCATCTTTGGGTATCAGAAGAAACATAGAGCAGTAAGTTTCTGCAAACTCCCTACAGATTTATTTTATGCTTTGCCTGGCCATGTCTGATTTCTAGTTGAATAAAAGGAGAAGAATGCAAAGGAATTTATTTCTGGTACTAGAATCTCTAATTTCTGAACAGACTCTTCTACCAGGATGAAGTTGCTCATATCCACATCAACCCAAGGCTGTGAAGGCAGCCCAGTCTCATCTGGGGCAGAGGGCCAGGCATGGTGGGGGGTGGGGGGCAACTGCAGCAGCAGTGCCTTGTGTGGTACTCAACCTTCTTGTCCCCAACAGAACCAGAAATTACATCCTGAGACATTTCCCCAGGAAGAGAGAGAAGGGGAGGGATAACTTAAGAAGATACTTCTAATGTGGTATTAGACTCTAATTCATAGGGAAATTTATGCCTGAGATATGAATTTCTGAAAATAGAGGGTTTTTTTTTTTTAAGGAAAACACTGACATCCTTAATTACAGAGTAATAAATACCACGGCATACTATCTTCTGATATTTTCTTACACAGATATCAAAGCTCGCAGCTGTTTTTGAAAACTGATAATCAAGTACAATGTGAGTATATTACATCTTGCACTTACAGCCCACCCTCCAACTGAGCAGCACGGAGCACTGAAAAGTGAGGCAGATCTGCTCCTAGTAGAAACCTAACTGAACAAATTAGCTCTGAATTGTAACTTCAGAATCACAGTCAAACCAAAATGTCTGCCTTTGCCAGGAAAGGCATTCCTAAGGCAAAAAGCATGCCAAGTAAAAAAGCCTTTGCTTTGGGATTATGGAGC